CTCTTGCTCAGGCTGGTTTCGAACTCCTGAGCTCAAACAATCTGCCCGCCTCGGCCTCCCAGAGAGCTAGGATTACAGGCATGAGCCACCGCGCCCGGCCTCCATTTAATATTTTTGGGCCACAGTTGACCATGGGTAGCTAAAACTGAGGAAAGCAAATGGTTAATGGGGGACTACTGTATTTAATAGTAAAATAAAATCCTTAGTCCTAGCCTACTTTATTGGGTATTTCAGAACTGTTTATAGAATTCAGTTTAAAGAAATGCCTTTCCCCCCCTTTCTGGATACTACTGGGATTTCCCATGTAACCTCTTCTTTCCATCCCTCTGTACGTCACCTTCCTAGTTCTTGGCCCAGCTGAAGATCATGGACTACAGCCTGCTGGTGGGCATCCACGATGTGGACCGGGCAGAGCAGGAGGAGATGGAGGTGGAGGAGCGGGCAGAGGACGAGGAGTGTGAGAATGACGGGGTGGGTGGCAGCCTGCTCTGCTCCTATGGCACACCTCCGGATAGCCCTGGCAACCTCCTCAGCTTCCCTCGGTTCTTTGGTCCTGGGGAATTCGACCCTTCTGTTGATGTCTATGCCATGAAAAGCCATGAAAGTAAGTATGAGCCTGTGCCTGTCCTGCCCCCTGCCCTGGCCCCCATACTTCCCCGTTCAGGCTCATTGTTTAGATACGCTGGTGGGTGTCTGGACCTCCACCTCATTCATTGGTGACTTTGGCCTCCCCCTGCCTCCACGCTCCCGTACAGGGTCACCACCAGTAACTTGGGCCTGGGGTTCCTTCTCCATTAGGCCTGCCTTCACCTCTCTGCTTGTCCTGGATGACTGAGGCATGGTTCTGCTCTAGTTCATGGATGGACAAAACCTTCTATATACTGTCATGTCAAGCCCACGGGGTAGCTATGAAAATCAAATAAGATAAGAACTATGAGACCTTCTGAGAAGGAGCCCACTGGTCATTCCTTTTCTCTGCTCCAAACTGATGGGGCTGGATCTGAACCTCACATCTGAAGGGTTATGGGTGCAACCCAGCTGCATTCTGCTCTTCTCCCTGCTACTTTTTGCTCCTTCCCTGCTTCCCCCCCGCCCAGGTGCCCCCAAGAAGGAGGTCTACTTCATGGCCATCATCGATATCCTCACGCCATATGATGCTAAGAAGAAAGCTGCACATGCTGCCAAAACAGTGAAACATGGGGTGAGTTCTGTCTGTTTTTGTCAAGGGCCCAGCTGGGTGGAGTGTGTCCGTGCTCACCCTGCGACCCCCAGGGAGGGTGGTCTCAGGCCTGCTGCTCTAAGGAAACACTCTCCCACCCTCTCCTTCCCCAGGGCAGAGAACAGGAAGAGCAGTCTGCCTGCCTTGCCTTGTGTTCCCTGCCGTCTCTACACCCCTCCCCCTCGCTGCCAGGCTGAGTAATATGCCCAACTTGTTTTTCCCTCAGTTCTCCAGCCCTTGGGGCCCTGAGCCCGCCAGCTCCTGTCCCTGGGGACTACTGGGCATGTCGTGCATCTTGTTGAACGGCCAGTAATAGCTTTGTTTACATGCCCACACTGCTCCCCACAGGCCTGCTTCCCCATGGACTTGAAGCTCCTGTTCTCCACACAGGGCCTCTCTACTACCTCCCCACCGCCTTCCCTCTGCTTCAGTGCAGGCCTGGGGTTATAAAGCAGGTGTGGGGCCAGGACGGTGTGAGACATGGGAACCGCTACCTGAGGTCCTGCTCAGTGTGGCCACCTGAGTCAGCCCTGATTCTGAATAAGAGGCTCCTGAATGTCCACGTTCCTCCCAGGTGCAGCTTCCTGATTAGGGCCAAGGAGCTTGACCTGAATTGGCTCTTGTGTATTACAGGCAGGGGCCGAGATCTCGACTGTGAACCCTGAGCAGTACTCCAAACGCTTCAACGAGTTTATGTCCAACATCCTGACGTAGTTATCTTCTGCCTTCAGCCAGAGCCACAGAGCTGGATGTGGGGCCAGGGATCGGGAGAGGGAGAGGGTGTATTTGGGCTAGATGGGAGGGTGGGGAGCAGAGTGGGGGGTTGGGAGGGCTTCAGCACTGCAGCCTGTGACACTGAAAGAGACACTGGCTGGGGAGGAGGGAGACAGCTGTGTGTGCTCACAGGATGTAATCTCACCTTCTGCTTACCCTTGATTTTTCCCCCCCACATTTGACCCATGTTAAAAAGGGGTTCCCTTTTTGGTACCTTATAACCTTTTAAGATACCTTGGGGCTAGAAATGATTTTGTGGGTTTATTTGGGCTTTGTTTCTGAAATTTCATTGCTCCAGGTTTGCTATTTATAATAATGTATATCATCACCCTATCCACCCTCCCCATCCGTGCCCAGCTCTCAGTTCCCTTCAGTAAGAGAGGCACCCAGTAGACCCAGCACAAGGGTCCTCTCAGAGCAAAGTGCTCTGACGCCAGATTGGAGAGGTCAGACGCCTCAGCCCTGCTGCATTTGATCTTGTCTGGATTCACTTTTTAATTTTATGGAGTATCGTGCACAACTTCTTCCACCTTTCCACCTTGGATCCACGTGAAATGTTACATTGTTCCTGCAGTGCTGTCCTCCCAAAGGAACACTCCAGATCAACACCGGGCATCTCAGATCAGAATCAGAGATCTCAGGGGAGTGAGTCATCCTCATGGGATGGTAAGGGGTTGGGGAGCTGCTGGGTTCTCGGACAGCTGGTTCTCAGAGAACCCCGTGAGCATCATCCAAGCCCCAGGCTCTCGGCCCCTGGAGTTCAGAAGTCCTCTCTGTAAAGCTGCCTCCCCTGGGTCAAGAGGAACTAGAAAGTACCTTTGGATTTATCAGGACCCTTGTGCTTAAATGGTTATTTCCCTTTGGGAAAACCCCAGAAACTGATGAGTATCAAAAGAGGTCTTATGCCCTCCATTTACTTCCTTCCGACCTCCTCCCAGGCACCCTCACTTCGGGCTGAGCTTTTAGCTGGGGGCCGATCTCCAAGCACCTGGAGTGCTCTTTGCAGAGATACCTCTTCAAGCCCCAGGAGTACCATGTAGGTAATCTGGCTCCCTGTGCCTGTGGTTTGTCACCTGTGCCCCCTGCCTTGGAGTGTGGCATCTAAACCTGAGGTTGCTTCTGAGTCACTTGAGGATGTGACCTAGGAAATCCAATTTGGAGGCTTGATGTGGGGTTTGATCTGGCCCCAGCCTTGGGGCTGTTTTTCCTTGTTGCCCCCATCTAGACTTTTGGCAGATCTGCAGCCCACAGGTATCCTTGGAAGGAGTGGCATCTGGCAGCTTCCTTCATGTTTTCCACCCACCTTCAGAGCCTGCTACCCAGGCCCTCAGAAATGAGCCACGTGTCGTTCTGATGCCGTCAGAGATTCTGGTCCGGCTAGGAGAGAAAGTGGCCCTGTTGCTCTGCACTGGGGGAGGTACATTCCTGCATCTTCTCACCCCCTCACCAGGAGCTGGGGATTTGGGATGAGATATGGTAAGATTTGTAGATAACCACAAAGACGTGAAGATGGTTTTTGGAACCATTTTGAATGAATAGATTGGTTTTCTGTGGCTTTCTCCAAACTCGGCCAAGCTCAGCTTTCTGGAGCAGGAACCAGCACTGTCTCTGTGCCCTACCCACAGCATGTAGGTCAGGAAGGAATGGAGATGGCATTCTCGGACTTCACTGGGGCTGCTGGATTGGGTGGGAACCCTTCTGGTAGCAGCAGATGGGGGTCAAACCACTGCCCTGGCCCCGCGAAGGGGCCATAGGTAGCTCTGAATAACTGCAGCAAGACCACTAAGTGACTTGGGAAACTTGGAACCGAGTGGCTCATGGAGAAAACAAATTTGACTTAGGAAAGGGATTATGTAAGAATAATGTCTGGACTTGATTTCCCCACGTCATAATCAAGAATGAAAATTTGGATCTGCTCCTCGTCAGGCCCAGCATCTCCAAAGCTCGGAAGGCTATCTTCCAGCAGCCTCCACAGCCTCGGGCTCCCACCGGCTTCTCTGCATTTGGTCTGCTGATCACGTTGCCATAATGTGTATGAAACGTGTAACACAATCTTACCAGTTAAAGACTACCAGGTATCTAACTTGTTTAACATTGAGTGTGTGCGTGTGCGTGTGTGTGTACGTGTGGGTTTTTTTTTTTTTTTTGTATATTGTTTACATTTTTGAGAGGTAGCATTCTGTTTCAAATGCTCTTTTTGTTTTTCTGACAGTATTGTTGATTGGGTCGAAACATTTTGAGCTGTGGTTTGGTGGATTTTAGATTTTTTTTTAAAGGTCATTCTCTGTACTATCTTCAAAACCTTGGGTTTGGCCCTCTAATTCCTTTGGCATTCAGATGTTTAAAAGCTGTTTATCTTGGTTTATACAAGTTTTCTTCCTCTTCGTTTTGTAATGATAAAGATGCTCTATTTGGTCTGCAGTCTGAATGTAGAGAACGCGAACTGATCCCCCGAGAGAGAATCTGCCCGACACCTTTCTCCCTGAGCCCCACCATTCGCTTCTGGGCAGTAGGAGGCATCTGAGGGGAAGTGACCACCCTCAGCCTCACTCCTTGGGGCCATGAAGAAAAGCTAGCCATTCTTACGGCATCCCAGAACAATGTTGGGTCTCCTAAGAAGAACATAGCATAAGGAGGAGGACGTGGCTGATTGGGTGAGGCCAGGATGGGGATCAGGAAAGGATTCCTCTCCGTTCTCTCACTCCACCACGTACGGGGTGGCATCCAGTCTCACCTCCAGTCCCGTCCCCTCTGCTTCCAAAGGTCCACAGCCAAGAAACTAGAGTCTCCCAGCAAAAAGTGAGGAGTGTCCTGAAAACTCCACTGAAAGACCACTAGATGGCCTCTGGCCCTGTTCCTGTTCGTGAACCACTGGGTCTGTGTCCCCAGCACAAGCTCCTTCCCTGCACCCTGCAGCTTGGGGGTTACAGGGCATGCCGGGAAGCCAGCGGTTCTAGGAGCGCAGGCTGAAACACTGCTCCACCTTTCCTTGTCTAGCTCAGGGGTCACCGGTCTGTGGCAGGCGCCGTGAGTTGCCCCTGTGCCTGTTATTAGTGGCACTCTCTAAGTTCCCACCACAGGCAGCTCGTCCTCCTCTCTTCCTACTTCACTTTTTTCTCTCGCTTGTGCTTTAGGCCTCAAACAGGTCTGGTAGTGCTCAGGGTGTGAGACTAGACTCCTGCCCTGGTGACTTTCCCCTCTTCATGGTCTGCCAGGGGCTGCCCTGAGAGGTGGACCAAAGACCCAGGACTTCTCAGTAGCCAGTCCCACCCCCTAGCTGTCTTTTTACCAGTTCAAGGTGGGAGAGAGAAAACACCTCAGCAGTCTCCAGCATTTGAGCTACTCAAGTGTTGGGAGTCAGAAGGGACAGTGTGTTTAAACAACCTTCAGAGCTCTGGCCTTAAACCCGTGGCTCCCCCAAGTCTAGAGACCTCACCTCTTTCTGGTGGTAATGCGGCAGAGGGTTCCCTCAATGGGAAAACACATTTGGACAACTGCCCCCAAGTCTACCAGCCATCTGCAGGGGGCAGTGACATGGCCCTAGCCCTCCTTTGAGATGTACCATTTATAAAGAGTGCCCCCAAGGAAACAAGGAGCTTCGGCTGTCCCTCAACAGGTTGTGCTGAGATCCCAGGACAGAGGATAGGGAGGAAACGTCTACAGGAGCCTCTTGTCCTTGCTCAGAGCCATCCTGTAGGGAAGTAGGAGCCAACAACCTTCAGGGGGAGGCCCAGTGCTGCTCAGCACACCCCAGCGTCAGGTCAGACCACTGTAGTAAGAAAAGGTGAATGAAGTTTAGATTCAACTTTTGGAAAAGCAGAATAAACTACCACCCCACCGTATGTGTGTGACTTCTCGATTTCCCATTGCAATTTCCATTTTTTAAATAGGAATTTTCAATCCCCTGTGCTTGTCTAATGTCTGCTCTAAACAGTTTGAGACCCTGTTACTGTTTTAAAATGCATGCATGTTAAGATGAATCTCCAACCTGAGGAAAAAAATAAAACTCAAAAGGCTTTGTGTATATCTGTTATGTGAGTCCTTTGGAAATGAGCTTCTGCCCCACCTTCTCCCCACCACAAGAATTAAAAGGTTTGGTCCCAGTTTTAGCGGCAGCTTGGGCTAAATCAACATATGACTTGAGTTTAGAGAAAGAATGTGGTTGAAGTCCGACTTTCAGATGCAAATAAGCAATGGTTAAGAGCACAGCACGGGGGTCTGCCTGTTGCCAGTTAGCTGTTACTACCATGCACAGGGAGGGATGGACAAACCACCCTCTCGCTCCTCCAGCTATGTGGAACCAACCCTGGCTAGGAGCCACACACCTGACTCCGAGTCCCAGCTCTCCCTGATTAGCTATGCAGCTGACTTCGAACTTGTCGCCTCTGTGTACGTCATCTCCACCTGAACACTTTTAGCTTAAAATCTACAGGTTCTCAAAGTGTGGTCCCGGACCAGCAGTATCAGTAGCATCTGGGAGTCAGAAAGGTAAATTCTCCGAGCCCACTCCAGATCCCCCTGAATCAGGAAGTTTTAACGAGCCCTCCCAGCGATCCTGACGGAGGCTAACATTTGGGAACCACTCTGCTACACAGATGTTCCACTTGTTTCTTATCTATTGCGCCTGTCTACTGCGGGTTGCAAGCTGCAGTCATTTGGGGAGCTTTAGAAAAGACAGGTGCGTAGGCCCCTAGAAAGAAGGTCAGAGTCTTGAGGGACGGTTTCAAGGTATCAGTGTTTTAGAAGCTCCACAAGTGACTATGTACAGGCCAAGTTGAGTAAAAAGGGTTCTCGTCTTTGGCATCAATGGAAATGGGTTTATAGCCTTGCTTTACCCCTTCCTAAGGTAGACTTGATAAGTTATTTAACGCCCCTTCATCTCTAAATAGGGACAATCTTAATTACTTTAAGTCATTATGATGATTAAATGGTAGAATGTGTAAAGCACTTTGTGCAGGGGCTAGCGTATAGCAGGCACTCCACAAGCGACTTGCAGATTATTCCCACTGGTGTCCCAGTGCAGCAGAGTGCAAGTCAAAAAGAAAACCCAAGGGCTGAGCTATACCCCAAGTAGCTATTTGTAACTGCCCAGCTGGGACAGAGATCTGTGGGAAAGCATCAAAGACAAGCAGGAATGAAAGAAAGGCTATTTTATTTCAAAAAAAAAAAAAAAAAAGGGGGGGCTCCGGGAACAGGGTTAGTCCATTCGGGCCTTCAGTGTCCTGGTGGTGATTTTGTCCTTCTCACTGCAGAGGGAGAAAATCATAAGAAAACATCTGCACCCATTTAGACCGTGACTGCACCTCCCTCTCCAGCCCTCAGCACCAAGCCCTTGAGCCCTGGCAGGGGAACACACCAGACAGTTGGCCCTGCTAACTCGAGGCGTAACTGTTCTGCAGTTACAGGAATGTTAGCTTGTCTCCTCTGTCTGCCGGGAGGAAGGGGGGATGAGAACAGAGACTTTGCACAGGTGAAACCACCCAGCACAGGCTTTCCCAGAAATGGGCTGGACTATGAAGCCCAAAAAAGGGAACGAGCTCCCCCAGGCCTAGAGAACACGTAACAAGAACAAGGTGAAGGTGTGCGGTGGGCTTCACCCTAATGAACACAAAAGAACATTGGGTGGTAAATTCTTTGTTTTTCCTGGTAATTAAGCAGGCTAGCCCATAAAAGGGTCCAAATGCTTACTCTGGAATGTAGGAAAGCAGCTGAGAGGACACTTTCTACCCTATCCAATTAGGTTCCTAGTGACAGCCCCAAACATTTAAGGGGAAAAAGGGGGATGTCATTTAGGGAGCTGGCTAGGGATGGAAAATGGTCCCCAAAGCTCAGTATATCACACAGTTCTAGGCTCCAGACTGGTGGGAGTTGGGGGAGAGGGTGGGGAGCTGCCTCCACACAGATCCCTAAGACTTTGGGGACGCCGTTAAAGAAGAAAAGAAATGTCTATTGGGAGCAAGGGGAGAAGACTGAGCGTCATGGAGCCTCACCTCACAGAGGCATGACCTTCTGCTAAACTGCGCCTGCCGAAAGCACCTTTCTTACCTCATACCTGACCAGGGGGCTAGGAAGATGGGGTGTGTGTTTGTTGGGGAGGGAGAGAGGCAGGGGTCTGCAAAGCTTCCAGACTTTTCTCAACTCATACTCACATAATGTGGACAATGACTCCCATGCCTGACACTGCATCCCGGTCCACAGCATTCAGCATGGCTTGGGAGATGGTTTCAAACAGGTGTTCTGGATCCTGTCAACAGAAGAATCCTTTCAAACCCACAGCCTCAGGCCCTAACTTGGTCTGGTCCCTTAATGCTTTTTTAAATTTGTAATTATTATGGGTACATAATAGTTGTATCCCTTAACTCTTTTCTAGGCTCAAGGTTCCCAGCTCTGGCCCCTGCCATAACTGAATTAAGGGATGGTTCCCTAGATGTGGGACGCCCCCTCAGCTCCTTCCTGGGAAGGGAGCAGGATGTGTAAAGGAAAGTGAAAGGGACTTCGAGCCCTGAATTTCTTCCACTAACAGTGGTGTGACCTTGGGCAAATAATATGTCCCTCCACTGAGCCTCACTTTCTCTTCTGTAAAACAGGGAGAGGAATCCCTAGTTGACTCCACTGTGCTTTATCAGCTGCCTAATGGGCTTTCCTCCCGGATGTCTAACAGGTATCTGAAAACTCAACCTGTGCAACCACAAACCCACTTCCCCCCAAACCTGCTCCTTCTACATTCTCTGTCTTGGTTAGCCTAGAAAACTCAGCCATCCCCTGTATCTCCTCCTCTTTCACTTCTGTTTTAAGTGACCAAGTTCTCTTGAATTCTGGCTGCCTTTCCCTCTCCCCACTGCCACTATCTTTGCTCAGGACCTCAGCGCCTCCTACAGGCATTAATAGCCTATTACACCCACCTGCAGGCCTGCGATTCCTCAGGTACCTTACTGCCAGGGAGAGTTCAAACTCCTCGGCATGGTATTCCAGGCCCTCCAAAGTCTCACCCCGACCTTGATCTCCAGCATCATCTCACCCCACGACCTACCCACACTCCAGCCACTCCCGGCTCTCTCCAGTCAATGAACACTTCTGGCCCCTCCTCTACCTTTGCACAGGCTGTTCCTCCTCCCACCAGGCCTTCTCTCTCCTCTTCCCAACAAAATGCATTTTACAGGTATTTGGGCATCTATCTTGTTTCATTAGACTGCAGCAAGCCCCTGAAGGCAGAGAGTTTCTGGTTTCCCCAAAGCCTGGCGGAGCTGGCACTGAATAATAACAGCCAACGCTCACTTGCAGATCTCTTTGCATGTTTTCCTCAATACCACTTCTCAGGTAGATTGTATTATCCCCATTTTACAGCAGACATCATGGAGGCAGAGAGAGGTAAAGTGACTTACCCAAGAACATTAACTAAGTGGTGGGTGGATCCAGTTTCCAACCCAGACAATCTGGCCCCAGCCCCATTCTGTTCAGCTGCCTCTAACCCTATACCTCGTTAAAGCTTTGTTCAATGAGTGGGTATGAGAACCCTATAAACTCAATGTAAGGAATAATTTATTTATTGTTGTAGCAAATATCTGACTGGGGTCTCCTAACAGACGGTGCTCTCCTCTGACACCAGCCTGCCCTGGCAGGTGGAGTTTTTGGAGATCCTCCCAAGAAGCGGCAGCAGCTGTGACTTTCTCTCCCACCTACAGCATTCTCCCACATTACTTGTCACATAAACACATTTTTTTCCCTGATGGCTGAGGGTGGGTACCTCAGAGCCCAGCCCTGCTCCATGCCACCAACTCACCATGTTGGGCTCCCAGAGGGACTCGCACATCCCGTACATTTGTTCAGCGCAGGTGCCACTGACCACAAAGTCATCAGTCACCATGGGGCAGCCGATGAGGTCTAGAGAGCAAATGAAGGGCTTAAAGGTCTTCGGGTCCAACCCAGCAATGACTGGCTCAGTGTAGTAGGGGCCAAACCTGTGGGCGCCAGCACCAGAGAGAGAAACCAGAACTCAAGAACGCTCACTTTCATGTTCAGACCTATTCAGACGAGGCCTTGGCCCAGACCCAGGGTGGGAAATGAACAACCTGTTTGGAAAAATCACCTTTCCCTGTGGCCAGCTCTGTTTAACCCTTTTCCCCTCTCCTGGCATCTGGCAATGCTCTAAGACTTTTTCATCTTTCCTCTGATACCATCATAGCCTTCTCACCCCTGACCCTCACTACCTCTTCCTTTCTTTGGGAGTTCTGTTTTCTTCTAATCTTCCTTCTCCTGATCCAAAGTCCTACCACTATTTGATCCTCTATTTGCACATTTATACCTCTACTTCTTCTTCTTTTTTTTTTTGAGACAGAGTCTTGCTCTGTTGCCCCGGCTAGAGTGCCGTGGCGTCAGCCTAGCTCACAGCAACCTCAAACTCCTGGGCTCAAGCGACCCTTCTGCCTCAGCCTCCCAAATAGCTGGGACTACAGGCATGCACGACCATGCCCGGCTAATTTATATATATATATATATATATATATATTTTTAGTTGTCCAGATCATTTCTTTCTATTTTTTAGTAGAGATGGGGGGTCTCGCTCTTGCTCAGGCTGGTCTTGAACTCCTGACCCTGGAGCAATCCACCTGCCTCGGCCTCCCAGAGTGCTAGAATTACAGGAGTGAGCCACCGCGCCAGGCCTATACTTCTACTTCTTTAGAAAAAAAATTGAGGCAGTTTATAGGAAAAACACAGAAAAATAAAACTAAACCATTAAAATGGAATACAAGACTCTCTGAACACAAAGTTTTGTTCTGTGCCTCCTAGCAGGCAAGGCAAAGAGGGATACTCAGGGGGCTGGGTAACTCTCATTGTTTGCCAAAAGGAAATGGCAGCTCATCAGAAACTTGTTCTAAACAATGGTCTTTGAGAAAAACCAATCTTAGGGATCTTTATATACAGACGGTCCCTGACTTACGATGATTCAACTCACAATTTTTCAACTTTACAATGGTGTGAAAGTGATAAACATTCAGGAGAAACTGTACTTTGAATTTTGATCTTTTCCTGGGCTAGCACTGTGTGGTATAATATAATACTTTCTCATGATACTGGGCAGTGGCAGAGATCCACAGCTTCCAGTCAGCTAGCTATGTGATCACAAGGGTAAACAACTGCTGCTCTACAGTGTCCTGTGTTGTAAGCGTTTTTTAGATATTGTTTTTGCATCCCATCATGTCTATAAAATGCCCATTTTCAACTTACAGTGGGTTATAAAGTGAGGGAACATCTGTATAAAATACTCAATAACTAATGGCCAACATCCTCAATAAAAACAGTAAGGAAAAAGAATCCCCTTCCTTGGTACCCCCTCCATACTACATTCAAAGATTTCTGTATTCCCTCAGTCCTAGGCTTTACTTCCACTCACCGTTTCTCATACAAGAGGTTGGCCACCATACTCATCAGGGTATGAGGTTTGATCTGCCGACCTTCCTTCAACTCATACAGGTTGAGTCGGAACTTCAGGCGCTGGGCACTGTGGTCAGAGAAAAGCAAGTTAGTAAATTGTTGCTGAATGTCCCCTAGTGTTCACCCTGTGGAGGTCAGGAGGAACACAGACGACATACAGTCTCAGTCCCTGCCAAGGGAAAATTGCAAAGTCTTATATGTGTTAACAAGCAGCAGCTACTATGCTAATGGTCTGGAAGGTGACTAAGAAAAAAGGCCATACTTCTCAGGGCCATTTCAGAGCCTCAGAAAAGCCCCCGCATAGAGCAGACCAATACCATACCTGCCGATGGCAAAGCAATGAGTTGCAGGACCCCAGAGCAAAGAGCCTTAGGAACAACTTTAGTTACATCTTACAGGTAAGGAAACTGAGGCCTAGTGAAATTAATAGTTACTGCCTACAACTCAGTGAGAAGAGCCTCCCATAAAAAAAAAAAAGAAATGGTGGAAGGGGAATGGCAGTGACTGGAGAAGGCTGATGGGAGCCTTCACAGTGACAGGAACCCTAAGCTGTCATTCTGACTCTATCAGGACAGGAAAAAAGGGCAGGCTAGGCTAGATCTCAGGAAGGCATTCTTCTTGTTCTTGAGACTGAGGGAGGCTTTTAGAAAAATGAGAGAGAACATTTTATGACAAGCTTCCACCCACATTAGTGAACTAGTCTTTTGACCTTCTAGGAAATAAGTCCAAGAGCTGCTGCTCCTTAGGCCACCAACTTCCTGCAGCACCTGCCACCTGCGACCACACATTCCCTCTTGAAATCTTATCCTGGGCTGGGCTCAGTGGCTCACCCTGTAGTCCCAGCTACTCGGAGGCTGAAGCAGGAGGATCCCTTGAGCCCAGGAGTTGGAAGCTGCAGTGAGCTGTAATCATACCACTGCACTCCAGCCTGGGCAACAGAGTAAGACCCCTCTAAAAAAGAAAAAAAAAGAAAGAAAGAAAAAGAAATCCTATCCTGATTATTTTCCTCTCTCCTCTGGCTTCTCTTCTTCCCTGACTACTAAATATAAGGCTCTGCTCTCAAACTGCAGCTGATTTTCTCTCTCTACATACTTTGTCTCTCCAGAATCTGCTCCCACAGATTTAACACATCACTAATGCCTCTCCAACCCTGAGAGGTAATTTCAAAACCCCAACTACTTGCAAGATGTTTCTATTTGGCTTGCCTTGTCTCCTCAAAATTGGCGTCAAAATCAAAGTCGTCAACTTTCCTCCCAAACTAGTCCTCCTAACTCCTATATTTCAGTCAACATGCTCAAAACAGGAATCATTTTTGCAGCTTTTCTGGATTGCCTACATGTCAGGTACCAGTCTAGATACTAGTACCAGATAAAAAAGACACAGGTCTTGACTTCGGTTCAATGGCTCTTTCTTTGGCCCCACAATACCCAAGTAGCCACTGGTCAGCAACAACTCTCAGAAATCTCTTCCTTTCCACCACTACTACTCCATTAGGACCATAACCCTCACACCAGGACCATCAGAACAGAGACCTACCTCATCCCCCAGACTCTCCCTTCTCTCAAATCCACTGGCAATTAGATGACTCATCTGGCAGTTAACATGTACTAACTCATCATGGGTTAGTTATCTTTCTGTATGTCTGTCTTGTCTCCTAACTAGACCCGGAAGTTCTTTAGGGACTGGGCACCCATTCTGGCCTTAGAGAGACCTGCGTTGGGATCCTGGCTGACACGCATCAACTTGCATCTTGGGCAAGAAATGAGACCCTCAGTTTCCTCATCTGCAAAAGGAGACAGCAACATGGTGGTATCTAGACGAGGATTAAATGAGTCCACGAACATAAAATGCTTTCCACACAGTAAATGCTGGTAAAAGTTGATTGGGATACATCTCTTTATCGCTATGGTGTTCCGCAAAGTTTCGAACTCACAGGTGGTGTTTCGTAGATGACTAACATCCAAGCCGCTCAAGAAGCCGGGCAAGGATGGTCCAATAAGGGGCCTGGGTGTGGGCGGGGACCCCTGACACTTACACTGTCTGGACATCAGTGGCGAGTCCGGCCAGACCGATGTACAAACGGTCACCCATGGGAAAGATCTTCTGAAAGTCCGTGGTCACCATCTGGGCCTGGATCCCGAAGCGCCTGTCTGCAGCGATGGCCACACAGTTTTTCCCCTTCATGGCCATGACGGCCCCTCCGTTATAGGACATAATAGACTGGGGCAGACAAAGCGGAGGGGCTCAGCTCGAGAAGTCAAACGCTGCCCTGGCTCCCGACCCAGCCCCAGACCCGGAGACTCCTGTACGCCCCGTTCGTTCTCCATTCTGGAAGTGCCTGGACGCCCGAAACTCCAGCTCTGAGATGAGCACTGTGTGTGGCAGCGAGGAGCCGCAGTCGCCGCTTGGTCCTCACCGCGGTGCACTCCCGTTCGAACCAAAGCCGCTTCCTTCCATCGATCCCTAGGCCCGCTCTGCTCCCAAACTTCCCCTGACCCCCTCTCCGTTTCTAAATCCCTACCCCGTGCCCCTTTTCCTTGCTCCCCATCTCACCATGTTTGCGGTGTACTAGGACCCCCGATCTCCGGTGCAATTCCCGTAAACCGGTTCTCGCCGTCACTGCGCAACCGCCCTCGCTGCTTCCTCTCCATGGGCTAATAGGCCGACTCTTCCCGGTCACTTGGGCTTTCTATTGGCTGTACGTCCCTGTCAGTCACCGGTACAGCATAGTTTGGTTGAGAAACCAAACGGAGGCGGGGAAAGCGGAAAGTGAAAAGTCACTGTGAGTGAGGAAGAGCCTTGCGTCACGGTGCATGCTGGGATCTCGGCGGACCTGGATTTGGGACCGCCGCGACGGCGGGGCGGGACCTGCGCGCACGTGGGCTTGTGAAACTCGGTTTGAGGGCTGCGGCCCCAGCTGAAGGGACGCCATGACGCTTATCAACATGCTGTATGAGTTTGGCTACTACTCATGCTAGCTTATTTATTCACTCGAGAAATCTTTGCATCTACTGTGTCCCAGGCGCTTTGCTAGGCTCTGGATAATCACTGGCCCAGAACAGCGCCTGGTATATAGGAAGCGCCCATTAAGTGCAAATTTAACGATGTGAGGCGGGAAAGGGAGGGTATTCTGCTTTTTGCAGGGTTCAGCTGTAATTGGGAGTTTTTAAGGCCGGAGGTTGTTTCTTGGGACGTTTTGTAGGTCGACTTCACGTATCCCCAAGTCTCACGTCACCCTAAAAAGGGATGTTCTGGGCCTCTCCACATTTAAGGTAGAACCTGAGGATAGCCAGTGCCGACCCTTCGCGGTGCCAATGCAAGAGAAGCATGCACGTCCCGCGTCCTTCCCTCCCAATCCTCGCCGCCCCTTTCCCGGGATCGGGACCTTTCCCTTCGATTTCTTTCGTTTGATGGCGGGACCTCTACTGTGGTTTCTGCGCCGTCCAAGCTCGCTCCCAATGACTCGGCTCACTGCCACCCCAGCAGTCGTCGCGGTCTCTGTGGCGCAATCGGTTAGCGCGTTCGGCTGTTAACCGAAAGGTTGGTGGTTCGAGCCCACCCAGGGACGCTGCGCGCATTTTTTTTTTTCTTTCGGGAATTGGAAATTAAGGTTTTGCTCATAACCGCTCAAAAGCCAAATCTTTTTATTGACATGGCAGCGGTAACACTTTTTCTGTAGCAAGTAAGAGAGTCATTGTGGTTGAAAATTCGTCCTTGTTCAGTCAATGAGGGAATCATTTTTCCAGCACTTCCCTCCACCCCCTCCTCTCCCCGCCTCCAAGCTGGATTGCAGGAAACCCAAAGACAGGTTTTTGTCTCACCATGTAACACGTTTCAGGATGCATTTTTCGTAAGATTAAGAATGAATTTTCAGTGGAGGTTGGACAGTTTTCCGTTATATGCCTCAATCGATGTTACAGTCTTGTTACAAATATTACATTTGTAGGGGAAGAGAGTAATGAGAGAGAAAGGCAAAGACCAACTGAAGGACGAAGAGAAACAAAGGTGGGAAAGGAAGAACATAGCTGCGACATACAGAGAAAGATGGGACATTACAGAGAAACAGGCGGCGCAGTGAGGGAAGACCCCAAGAAAATGGAGAGGGGGGAAGAGAAGCATTTAATATGAGAAGCATCAGGAAAAGGGAAAGAACAAAATTTTTTTTCTAGAAATATAGAGGAATGGGGAGAAGGATGGGGAAATAAGCAGAAACTGACAAAGGACATTGTTTTCTGAAGAGAAAAGGTGTGAAGGGCACAGAGATAAAGACATTCATGAAAGCACTAGAAGAGCCGCCCTCTCCTACCATAGTAATGATTTTATAAGGGCTGTTATCCTCACAATAGCCCATAGTATGTGCCGGAAGTAATTACCCGGATTTCTCCCGTTCCCTGCCCTCTGAGAGCCTCTAGTCTGTGACAGACACAGTGACTCTTCTGATAAGTATTTGTCAGCTAGAGGACCGTGTGAGATACAAATACAAAATCAAGGGGCTCCTAATGTCTGCAGAGGCACGTTCCAGGAAGCAGGATGGGAGCCTCGACCTCTGTGGAGGAGGATCGCAAAGTACTCCAAGCAGTTCCTTCCACACTTGGTCTCTCAATATTTGGCTCAACGGAGGCCTCTTCTGGCTGGCCCTTCCCAGTGCTCGTCCACCCTTAGCGGGAGCTCACATCAGATGCTGTGGATTCTAACGGGACAGGCGGGACAGGGTGTGTGTTCCTCTGGGTTTGCTTCCATTGGCCTGTGAGCGCCCCGCGCAAAAGCCCGGCTCATCTGCTTTGTGTCCCCAGTGCCTAGTGCAGTATTTGACATTGGCACATGACAGACGCTTCTGTGTTGGTTAATAAAATAAACACTGGGAAACCAGAGAAATTCAGATGTGGGAAGAGTTGGGTCAGAAGATTTTCCTGGTAAACCAGAAAGGCCAGGGATATGAGGACTGGTCGTCCAGGACGGAAGAGATTAAACTGGAGTTTTAGTAGGTAGTAAGGTCTCCAGCATGCCCCTTCTCTCTCGTGAATGGGGCTTAATAACTGAGGGATAAGTGAATGGTTCCCCGCTTAGCACAGCGGCCCCCTCGGGCAGCCCTCCAGGATTAATGGGCCGCAGTGGGGACGCAGAGGAGCGTCAACCCCGGAGGCTGCCGTGTGGATTACGGTGGGACCGACATCTCCGCGAAGCCTCTGCAAGTTTCTCTTGCTCTGGGTCTGGAAGCCCAAAAGGAGAGGCAAACCGGGAGTCCCTGCCACGCTCCGCTCCCGGAGAGCAAGTGGATGCGCGGGTCTTCCCCGGCAAAGGCCAGGAGGCCGGCGACACACTTGCGCTGGAGACAGTGGGCATGTCTACGCCGAGCCCCCTCTCCACAGGGGCCGGTGAACTGCTGCAGGAACAGGGGAGCAGGTGACCGGATCCTCCCTTGGCCCTTCTCCCGCTGGTTCTCGGACCACTCCCTCTGGGCGGAAATCTCTCCCGCCCTTCCTTTCCTCCCTGCGCCCATTCGGCCGGTGTGGGCTGAGGGCTGAAGCTGGGATCACTTGGCGGCCAGTGTCCGCAGGTCTACTGGTCGCCGGCCAGAGCGTGAAAGCGTTCAGTCCGGGGCCCCCAGCTTTGGGGCTGCCTTGGGTGCCAGCAAGGAGGGAAGGAGGCAGGCGCTCTGAAGCTTGGCAGATTCGTTTCCTAATTTTCCCAACTCGAGCCACCCACCGTCAGTGCGCTTAATGGCGCTCTGGCCGGATAATCGAGCTCTTTGGAGGGACAGACACGGTGGCTATCCCTAATAAATCGTGAATAACGAATGAGCGAATCGATCGTTCTAATGAGGCCCACGGTTGTCACCGTAAGGCAGTATCGATTCGCTTCCCTGGCGCCGGCCTCACCACTGCGCCCGGCTCTTCCAAGCCCGCCTCCTGGTCTCCCTCCGGCCGGAGCCACTGGGGACCTGAGCCCGAGCGCTGAGTGGAGCCGGGAGCGACGGTCGGGGTCGGCTGGCACCGGCCGCCTTTGCGCTCGCCCGGCTCCTAGCGCCAAGCGTGAGCGAAAAATGCGGGAAGCGTTCAAGGCAGGAAAAAAAGCGCGGGCCCATTTTTGAGCCCCGGCGCCTCGCTTTCTAGTCCCTTCTGGTCTCTCCCCTTCCGCTGGGTTATTGTGTCCCAGGCCTGGACTCTGAGTTCGCGTCTCCAGCTGGTCTCCGCGTCCCGGGTTGCGTTCCATTCTTCGCCCGAGCACGCCGGGAGCGCCAGCCGCCACCACAGCAAACTGAGAGCCCTGCCATGAGTCCCCCCATCCCTGGCCTCACCCTCCACCCTCCACTCCCCTCTTGCGGTTTGCTCCCCCTGAGGCGCCCTGGCTGGGTCTGCGTTTTAGAGCCGGCGATCCGCCCGCCGAGGGGGGAACGGGGGAGTAGGGAGGACACGCTTTCTCTTACAGATGTAGTTATTAATTTTAAGGGAGTGTCACTTGGAGGGAATGAAAATCACCCGACGCGTGACTGGGGACGTCGCGTCCTCCGCCTGAGCCCTGCGCCCTTTGGTCTAGGTCGGGCCGTGGAGGACTGCGAGCCACATTTCAGCCCAGTCCTCATGTCACCATTTTCCAGGCGCCCCAGCTAGGGGTGGGGATCTCTGGGTCAGTGGGGTGGGGAGGACACATATTTTGAGGGGAAGCGGCTAATTGAAGAGGTTAACAGGGAGGTGGATTAATCCTCCAGGGTCAGGGAGGCTGTTTGGGAAGGGAGGGGTCTTGTCCCGGTTTGGGGGGCCCGGCACCGGTGGCGGGGAGAAGCCGCGCGAGCCTCTCCCCCTCCTCTTTCCCTCTTCGCTAGCACCCTGAAGGAATGAGGTCACGTGGGTGAGTAGTGGGCGGGACTACTCTTGTCTGGAGGAAAAAGCCATTTTGTCTCCCCCCAACTCTGGTCCCTCCCCTCCCCCCAGATCCCCTCCCCTCCCCTCTCTCCCTCCCACCCCAAGCCGCTTTCACAAACTCCTTTCTTACCGTAGGTTTCTCCCCTCCCGCCGCCCGAGCGAGCCACACGGCTGCGGCCCCCCTCCCCTCCCTTCCCTCCTTCCCTCCCTCCCATCCCCCCCTCCCCGAGACCCACCGGACCCCGAACCCAGGTAAGCGGACGCGGACTCCCCCTTCCTTTCCTTCTCCTACCCTATAATCATCTGGGGATTGGGATGGGGGCCGTTCCCTCCTTTACAAACCCCTGTGGGAGGGGGGAAGCCAGGAGCCGAGCCTGCGCTCGCATCCCCCCCGCGCCCCGCCAGCCCCTATCCTAGCTCGCCCCGTCCGCCTTCCTTTCTCCCTTTTTTCTGCCCCTTTTTCCCTTTCCTCCCTTCCAAGATGGCCGAACTGGATTCCCCCTTTTAACGATTTGGCGTCTCCCTCGACCACCACCTCTTTGTGCAGCAGCCCCCTTGTAGACCCTGCTCCCGAGGTAGCGAGGGGGAAGGTCCGGGGCAGCCATGAGGGTTCTGGGGGTGCGCGCCGGGTTGGATCACGGCCCCCTACCCCTCCCCGCAAGCCCGAGCCGCCCCTGGCTCTACCGGATCTACCGCCTTTATTTCTGGGCAGGGGTCGCCTCTCCTGTGGACACTGAGGCGGCGTGGACGCGCGAGAACTTGAGGCCAGGAGGGAGGGGACGTGCTTTTTGATTGCTGCGAGGCCGGGGGAGGGCGCCCTTCCCTGCCGGGTCCGGGTCCTCTCGGGCACCTCCCCCAGCCGGTCCCCTTGCCCGGGTCCCAGCACTGGGCGCCCCGCCCCCTCCCTAACCACCTCTGCAGTGCCTCTTTCTCCGGCACCCCCCCTCCCGGGCCCCGCCGAAAGTTTGGCTCTGGGGAAGGTGGGAGCGGCCACCAGGTAACTGGGGTCCCTGATGTTTTGACCCAGGCTCCTGGGGGAGCCCGGGCGGAGGGGTTGGAATGGGAAGGGGGGGATTTGTCGTGATATTTCTCACGGCGGCGGAGGCAGGAGGGGTCTGAAGACCCCTGGGGAGCCCAGCCGCCCCTCCCTCCCCAGGCCCTCCTGCTGCTATCTCTGAGGGGGTGAGACCCCTCGGCAAGCAGAAACCCCTTGCACCCCCTGTCTCCACGGTGGGCCCAGGTATGCCCCCCTCCCCCACTGCCCGCGTCTGCCCAGAATTGCTCTGGTTGGCTTGAGGAGGGAGGCGGCGGCCTGGGAGCGGGCAGGGGTGGGAATTTGTCTATAAATATTGTGGAAGTGTTACTCTGTGCTTGCCCTGGCCTTTGTCTCGGAGTCCCCCACTCCACTCCCCACGCTGCCTCAGTCTCTCCAGAGCTTTCCGTCGCTGGGGGGAGCGGGGTGCCTCCTGGTGGTTTCCCACTCTGTTCTCATACCTCCTCCTCTGGGCCTCTTTCAGTTTGTTTCTGTTCCTGAAACTCTGATTTCTTTCCTTCCCTGCCCGCCCCCCCCCCCCGCAAGGTGTTATTACTTGGAGAAGGAGTATAAAGCCAGCTCTGTTGCAGATTTTCGGTGGGGAGGTTTTCCCAGGGGTTCTCCTGGTTGGGGGTTGGAGGGTTGAGGCCTTAGAACTGTCTTTTGAATGAGACAGGAAACTGACCCCAGGATCCAGACCATATGTACTGGGTAGAGTTCAAGTTGAAGTCTCTGGGGGTGGGCAGGAAGGGGCACTCTCTGCTGCCCCTTGGCCTGGCCCAAGAGATTTTGGTTGATGGAGCTGTTGGCATGGGAATGGAGAGAGCCTGCACAGGAAGACGTTACATCTTTGTGCAGGTCAGATGCCCACTGCAGCCCTCCAGCCTCTGGCCCCCAGAGCAGAGGTTGGGAGCTGAACTGCCTTTGTTGCTGGAAGACTTATGTTATCATTTACCCTGGGTGGACCAGGGATGCACAAAAGGTTGGTGCGTGTTTGCAGGTCTGGTTCCAAGCAGGGATGGCAGGCTGTGTGCTTCTGGATGGGTGGGTGGGGATGGCTCATGCATCTGGCAAGTGTGGGCCTGGCTTTTGGTCTGGCTGCATGTGTGGTGGGTGTGTCTAGCCAAGCGTCTGTGTGTGTATTTGTGGGTGTGTGGTGTCATGTCTATCTGGCCTTGGCTGTTGTGAGTGTGAGAGAGGAAGTATGTCTGGCTGTGTGTATATGTGTGTGTATCTGGTAATGTGTTGCTCTGAGTGTATATTTTGGGTTTTGGTCTTTGTTTGATCTTAGAGAGCTGAGAGGTGGTGAGGGGAGGGAGGATAGAGTTAGCCCAGCTTCAGGAAGCTAGAGGCCTTTTTGATGCTTGGGAGAACAGGGAAGCAGATTCTCACTCCAGTGTCCAGGATCAGGGACAGTCGAGGGGTTCACAGGGTCCCCAGGCAGATCCTGTGGCCCCAAACACAAACACATGGGGCTTGCACAGTGGAGCCCGTGAAGCTGGAGAGGAACGGAGCCTGAGAACCCAGGGTCTGATCTTGATGCTGTGCTCTGGCTCACTGTGTTCCCATGGAGCCTCAGTTTCCCTACCTGTACCGTGGAAGCTGGGTGGGCAATGAGGGTCTTCCTCCCTCTCCTTTTCCTACTTCAAGGTGAGAGTGTGCTCTGATGGGCATGTTTTGGCCAGACTGACTCCCTCCCAGAAGGCTCACTGAGTGGTCTTCCTGCCACTCCAGGTAGCTGCTGCGATGGAGGCAGGCCAGGCGTTCCCTCCTTAGACGGGTAAGGAGCCTGGCCTGGGTGCCAGCATGTGAAGAGCACTGGGACGGGAGTCAGGCAGTACCTTGTCACAGACTGCCACTGCCTTACTGTGTGACCTCAGACAAGTCATTTCTCCTTGAGTTTCTTCGTCCGTAAAATGAAAGGATTGGACAAGGCGCTTTCTAAGATCCCTTTCACATCTGCAGTTCTTGACATCTGGATGTGTGACCTTGAGTGACTTTCCCTCACTTTCTAGTGAGGGAGTTGGGCTCATTTCACTGGAGGAAGGGCAGAGGAAAGAGTGCTCCAGCTGCCATCTGAGGCAGCAGCCGGGACTCCGGCTGCGTTCACAAGAGGCCACGAAGAAACTGACAGCAAGAGAGGCCCAAATTGCAGGGCAGCTTCCAGAAAGAGACTGGTCAAAATGGAGAGGTGGGGGTGTTCCCTATTAGTAGGGGCTTTGAGGATGCTGAAAGACAGCTGCCAGCCTTGACTGGCAGGGAGGAATCAGCACTGGGTGCCGGACGTTGGGTGCTGATTAAGGTCCTGTCCTGCTAATGTAGCCAGACCCCGGCCGGCCAGGACAATGGATTGGGGGCAGAAGATCTTGAAGGGCTTGGCTTCTGGTTGGGGGAAAGGTTGTGTTGGGGGTGGAGACCATACTCAGGTCTGCTGGGGGTTGGGGTACAGTTGGGACTGACCCTTTAAAGCCCCGAGCTCCACAGAGGCCACTGGCAATGGCCCTCGGTCTCCCTTTTCTGCTCTTTATGATGTCTTTCTCCCACTCTTTCCCAAGTTCTTCCCATATCTCAGCCTGTTTCCTAAAGTGATGACAGCTGGACTTCCAGCCACCCCTCACCCCTTTTCCCTCACCTTCCTGCAACACACCAGCCAGTTGTAGCTGGGGACAAACTGGGTGTCAGGAATGGGGACCCCCCAGTCCTCCTGGGGGTGGGGAGAGGGGGAGAGGGTGCTCTGGGGAAACAGAGCTCCTGTTTACATTGCTCTTGGCACCTGCTGGCCTGGCCTTGCAGGTAACCATGGCAATTTGTGAGGAACCAATCAGTGCTTCTCCCCACCCCCAGCCCCAGAGGTAACATTTGGGGGCCCATGGGGATGGGGGGTGCAGGGAGTGTGGCAAGTGGCTCATTTCTTAAACCGAAGGAGCATTTGATTGAATAAGCGAGGCCCTTGCCCTCTTGTCCAGAAAGGGGCCTGAGGAATAGGCTTGGTCTGAATTCTCCCAAATGGGGGGAAGGGTTAGGGTAAGGTCAAGGGCGTGGCCATTTGCGGTGTGGGGCGCGTGTACACGTGTGTGTGTGTGTGTGTGTGTGTGTGTGTGTGTGTGAGAGAGAGAGAGAGAGAGAGAGAGGAGAGGGAGGTAAGGGTGTGAGATTGACCCCCAGCATGTTTTGTCTTTGGTCCTTCATGCACACACACATATAGGTGCATCTGGACACAGACACAGGACACGCAGTCACAGGAAGTACCTTTGGAGGCCCAGACGGCACGTACACACACGATGGATATTACACACAATCAGAGACAGCCACTTGGACTGTTCTCTGCTCTGGATGGTTGTAATAATATTTGGGCATCTTGCCAGGGACAGGGTTACTATGGAAACGACCAAACAGTGGAGTAGCCGGCAGCCTTCTGCGTAATTGTGAAGCGGTGGACCCGTGCACGGAGTGCTGGCTGAGGCCACCCTATATGGGGCGGGAACCCCTTTCATCCTTAGCTTTCGGGGGCCGCTGCCTCTCCACTGGATCTCTGGGCTTGCTGTGGGGCTGGCTTGTTCCCCTCTGTCTGCCCTGCAACGTGGTCTCTCTCCCACGTGTGGCTTTTGTGTCTCTTGTCTCTTTCGGTCTCTGGCCAGGTTCCCTGGGCCTCTGTTGGCTGTTTGGGTCCTGGCCAGACTCATCCTGGGGTCTCTATAGAAACTGCTGATCCCGGCTGTGAATTTCTTGTCCTAGAAAACCCAGTGTGGTGGCTTTAGAAATCTTTCTGGAAAGGAGAGAAGGGTATGAGTGTGTTGTAAAGGAGCTGTTGGGGCTTGGCCACCCTCCCAAGCCCCACCCCTGGACTTTTACTCTGGGAAAGAGGAGGGAGGGAGAGGCCGACCCTTCTAAGTGCGGGTTTGATTTCTATACCACGAAGTAAGCACAGTGGCCATTCCAGAGCCGGACTTTGACTGACCTCGCTGGACCCTGCTAGGGTGCTTGGGTGGGCTGGGGACAGAAAGAGCTGGACTTTGACTGACCTCACCAGACCCTGTCAGGCTTGGGTGGCCTGGGGACAGAAAACTTTCTGCCCAGCTCTGGCAGACATCTGTGAGAGCCTGTGGTCTGTTGCTGGACAGCCTGTGAACAGGTGGCAGAGGTGTCACCAGGGTGGGAGGCAGTGGCAGGGTAGCAGTGCCCATATGGGGAAATTCCTGCAGGTGCAGGAAAGGGAGGTCGTGGACCACAGCGTGCTAGTGGACCCTTGGACGGGGAGCTGTCTGTCGGGGCATGGTGGCAGGAATTCCTGTGGCAGGGACAGTAGTCTTTTTGCCTAAGCTCTGTGACTGTCATTACCTGCAGAGTCCAGGGCCTGGCCTGGGGGCAGGCTGGAGCTGCGTGTCCCCAGCTTCTCACGTGTAAGGACCTTCAGTATTCCCTACCTGAGCCCGGGGCCTGGAAGCTGAATGGTGCTGCCTTCAAACTTAGGCCCATGGTGTCTCCAGGGAAGGCTTCCTGGGGGAGGAGTGAGTGGCTGGAATGGAAGGGAGGGGAGGATGGAGTGGAAAGACCAAGTCTGAGGCCTTGTACTTGGGTAGAGGGGTTGAAGGAGGGAGGATAATTTATTCTTCCCTTCTTTTATTCCTTGAAGTTCAGGGCACTGGCTTATTTATCTAAGTTTCCTCATAGCTCTTAATAGTCTTGAAATATGTGACCACTTGAGTGAATATGGATTGGGATTGGGGAGATGTTGGGTGGTTCCCTGTGGTCTAACTTCAGTCTTTCCTGCTGCTCCTGAGATGGAGCGTGACCTTGTTGCTCAAGGCTGTGTGCCTCTCCGGAGGCCCCGCACCCAGTGAGCACTCAGGGGGCCAGAAGGAACCAGCCACAAGCGTGCCCCCAGTCCCACCTTGAAGGCAGAGAAGGGCCTTGGGCTCAGGGAGAGCTATTGCTGGGGGGATGGGGAGTGAGGCATGGGAGGGGCTATTGGATCCCCAGGTTTCTGAGTCTACTTCCATTTCCCAGGGCGACGCTCCCCAGTCCCCCCATCCCCCAACCCTGGCATCATGCATCGGACCACACGGATCAAAATCACGGAGCTGAACCCTCACCTCATGTGTGCCCTCTGTGGGGGGTACTTCATCGATGCCACCACCATCGTGGAGTGCTTGCATTCCTGTGAGTTGGGTAGAGGGGGTGCTTCTCAGGGTGGGCAGCCTCTGCTCAGCTTGGGGGGCACTGCCCAGACAGGGTGGAACACAAGCCCCTGTCCTGAAGAGCAAACACTTCCACATGTCTATGGGAAGCCCCAGGTCACAGAGAAGCTGCCTGGAAGCGGTGACCTGGGAGTGCGTCTCAGCCCAGTTCATTTCAGGGACTTGCATCTGAAATCTCAGCTCTCTTCTGCATCTCTGTGGCTGAAATTTCACCCTTGTTTGCACTGTAGGCTTGGTGGCAAGCGGTTGAGGACCCAGGGAGGTGTCCGACAGGCTGGCTCTTGTTTAGTACTCCATGGGGAGGCATGGGACTCGGGCTGCCTTATATGTTGCACATGACACCAGCCTGTCTCTCACACACAGACACACAAGATCCGTCCTCCCCAAGGATGGATAAGGGGCAGTTGCCAAAGTGCCAAACACACATTGGGCCTTCGAGCATGTCTGAACTGCAAGGACATGGTGGAGAAGAAAGGATGTCTGGATCTGAGCAGGGGGCATGGAGGCTGGTCTTGGGGTAGGAACGGGCTCTGACTCTCCTTTCTCTCTCCACACCCCCAAGTCTGCAAAACCTGCATCGTGCGCTACCTGGAGACCAACAAGTACTGCCCCATGTGTGACGTGCAGGTCCATAAAACCCGCCCACTGCTGAGCATCAGGTGGGCTTGGCACTGCCCCTCCTGCCCGTGCCCATCCTCTGGGTCAGCGTCCCTCTGTCCCCCTCACCCCTGCTGGCTTCCCGCAGCCAAGGCGGCAGGAATGGCAGAGCACGGGTGTGGACCCAGGCCCCTCCCCTCCCTCCGGTTGCACCCAGCTTGCCGTGGGCTAAGAGGTACTAGAGGGGTAAAGGCCAGACGGACCCCAATGCCTGGGCGCTGGGTCTGAGGAAGCGGGTTGGGAAGAGGGGTCCCCTGGCTGGGGAGATGGGGGCGGGGGTGGCTGCTAACGGGCCCCTGTACATTTTTTCCCAGATCTGACAAAACCCTCCAAGACATTGTCTACAAATTGGTCCCTGGGCTTTTTAAAGGTATTTGCACACCCTTAGTCCTCCTGCCCACAGCCCTGTTTCCCAGCCTGTGGTCCTCTTCTCACTCTGCTTCCTTCCTCCAGATGAGATGAAACGGCGACGGGATTTCTATGCAGCCTACCCGCTGACGGAGGGTGAGTGTGTTCAGGGGACCACGTGGGTCTGTAGCGCTGCCTCCACTTGCCCTCGGGCCTCCTCTACGGCGCCTCCCTGCTGTAGACAGCCAGCCCAGAGGGTGGCTGGGCTCACCCTGCGGAGCTTTGTGACCCCTGGGTCCTTGGCAGGCTGCCTTCCCCCATCTTCGGCCAACCCCTCAGAGCTTTTTCCTTCTGCAGTCCCCAACGGCTCCAATGAGGACCGCGGCGAGGTCCTAGAGCAGGAGAAGGGGGCTCTGAGCGACGATGAGATTGTCAGCCTCTCCATCGAGTTCTACGAAGGTGCCAGGCAAGTCCAGCCGGCTGGGCCTTTTGGGCTCCAGGCTAGGTTGCCCACATCTCCCACCCTGGCCCCATTCCCCTGGGGGGGCCCTCTGGACGTGTGCACGGGGTGGGGGTGGGGGGGCTGCCTGTTCCTGCATCTCCCTAGCTTCTTCCTTTCTCCTCCCCCAGGGACCGGGAGGAGAAGAAAGGCCCCCTGGAGAATGGGGATGGGGACAAGGAGAAGGTGAGTGCTGGGGCCGGCCCAGGAATGGGATGTGGGCTGGGAGGGAGTGGCCTGGCATGCACGCCTCCCATGGGTGCCTCTGCCCCAGCAGACAGGGGTGCGCTTCCTGCGGTGCCCGGCAGCCATGACCGTCATGCATCTTGCCAAGTTTCTTCGCAACAAGATGGATGTGCCCAGCAAGTACAAGGTGGGTCCCCGAGCCTTTCAAAAAATGCGTGTATGTATGTGGGTTTGTCTGACAATCTGTGCATCCCAGCCATTGTTCAGGACTGGTTGTGTAACTGAGCCCCTGTAGAAGGGTGGTTGAAACCAAGTTAGGGTGGGGTGGTCTAGGTCTGTTGAAGTTGAAGTCAGCATGCAGAGGTGCATGGGACCAAGATGGTGTGTGTGTGTGTGTGTGTGCGCGCGCACGTGCGCACGCACATACTTGCAGCACTCAGAACTGTGGCAGAGTGTGTGCAAGCATGCAGGAGCAAGCATGTCCCCTTTTGTGGGGACAGCTGGCTACGGGAAGGCCAATCCGAAATTCCAGAGGAGCTCTAGGACGTTGCTTCTCAAACTTGAGTGTGTACGATCCCCTGGAGATACTGTTAAAGTGCAAATTCTGATTCAGTAGATTCTGCATTTCTAACAAGCTCCTAGATGCTGAAGGTCCCCGTACTACACTTTGAGTAGTGAGGATCTAGGAGAGTGGATCCTAAACTTTGTTGTACATTAAGTCATGTGAGTGGACTCACGTCTCACCAGCTGAGTCAGAATCTCTGGGTTGAGACGCAAGCATTGGTATTTTTTAGAGCTCCCTGGATGACTCCATTGTGCAGCCAGGGGTGACAGCCAGAGTTGCAGGAGATGCCCTGAGCCTTTTTAGCTCCTCTGGGAGAGCTGCCGGAGATAGGACACCTAGATGGTGTGGATGGTGGGGTTGTTAATGGGGGTGTCTTCTCTGGATCCCTTCCCACCTGGTGGGTATGTTGGGACAACTCTGATAGGGAAGTCAAATCCACAATGAAACCCAAGAGGAAGGAGGGGCCACCTGCAAATCCACCCTTCCCACCGCCCCGCCTCCTGGTCCCCAAGATCCAACCTGGAGCCCTGAGTCTGGCCAGGGTCATGGGGTCCTCTGCTTCCCCCCCAGGTGGAGGTTCTGTACGAGGACGAGCCACTGAAGGAGTACTACACCCTCATGGACATCGCCTACATCTACCCCTGGCGGCGGGTGAGCCTGGGAAGGGAGCAGACGCCTGCAGGCGCTGGCGTTGGTCTGTGGCCACATGGGCCACCCTCCTCTAATCACAGACAGCCCATCCTTTGCCCCACGAGCTGGCATGTCCAGGGTGGCCTGCCACACCAGGTCAGCCTCCAGGCCATCTCTTGCTGACGACTTCCCAAAGGAAAGGGCTCTTTTGGCAGATAGCCCCGATGTGGAGTCAAACATAGGTGCCCTCTGTGTTTTAGCTTCCCTCGCTCCTCTCTTTCTCTTCAAGTCTCTGGGTCTTCGTGTGCCCCTGTGTCTCTGTCTTCTCTAAGATCCAGTGCCTTCCCTTTCTTATCTGGGCACTGTGGGGTGGAGCTGGGTGGCTCCCTGGTGGCCTGTTTCTCCTGACACCCTCCCCTTGGCTCTCTCCTCTTCCCCACAGAACGGGCCTCTCCCCCTCAAGTACCGTGTCCAGCCAGCCTGCAAGCGGCTCACCTTGCCTGCAGTGCCGACTCCTTCCGAGGGCACCAACACCAGCGGGGCGTCCGAGTGTGAGTCTGTCAGCGACAAGGCTCCCAGCCCTGCCACCCTGCCGGCCACCTCTTCCTCCCTGCCCAGCCCAGCCACCCCCTCCCATGGCTCTCCCAGCTCCCACGGGCCACCCACCACCCACCCTACCTCCCCCACTCCCCCTTCGACAGCCAGTGGGACCACCACAGCTGCCAACGGGGGCACCTCGAACTGCCTGCAGACACCATCCTCCACCAGCAGGGGGCGCAAGATGACCGTCAACGGCGCGCCCGTGCCCCCCTTAACTTGAGAAAAGGGACCCTGGCCCTCCTTTCCAGCCATGCGTCTCCACTCCCTCCACTTTTTCTGGGCCCTTTTTTTCCACCTCTTCTACTTTCCCCAGCTCCTCCCACCTTGGGGGTGGGGGGCGGGTTTTATAAATAAATCTAT